CGTGGGCTGGGAACAGCAGGGAAATTGAACACTGAAACAGGGGGGGCACGCGACATCAGCTGACACAAGCTAATTGCGCCGCTTCCTCCGTATCTATCTAGTTGCGCCGCTTCACTTTCTCTCCAACTCTTTCGCTTTGTCTCTCAACTAACTGCAATTCCCTCATAAGCTCATCATTCCAAACATAAACCAACACCCTCTCAATTCTAGTCTCCACCTCATACTCTTTTCTTGACCTTCCATTCCATCACGCCTCAACATATATGCTGCGATTAAACTACCCCAAGTCTTCTTACCCTGACCTAACCTAGGGTTGACTTATTGCACGACATGTGTGTCGTGCCATAAGTCAACCCTAGTTTTGGTCGGTGTAAAAGGGGTAGTTTAATCGCAGTATATATGTTGAGGCGTGATGGAATGGAAGGTCAAGAAAAGAGTATGAGGTGGAGACTAGAATTGAGAGGGTGTTGGTTTATGTTTGGAATGATGAGCTTATGAGGGAATTGCAGTTAGTTGAGAGACAAAGCGAAAGAGTTGGAGAGAAAGTGAAGCGGCGCAACTAGATAGATACGGAGGAAGCGGCGCAATTAGCTTGTGTCAGCTGATGTCGCGTGCCCCCCCTGTTTCAGTGTTCAATTTCCCTGCTGTTCCCAGCCCACGAAGGCCTAAGAAACACACTTTGATCGCATGCAACTTTGAGACGCGCAAACCCACGACCCCACTGGCTCATCTACACACATATCTACGTGCGATAGGTCACCGCCGGCCGATTCCACGTCACTGGCACCGACGGATGGGTCACGCGGTTAGCGCACCGCTTGCGGTGTGTTCTTCCCATGGCACAGAGAGGTGAGGGGGGGCAAGTGAACAGCGATGGAGGGAGGGTTGGACACTCGGACCACAGGGGTGGCGGTGGTTCTAAGGGCACTAAGTGGGATGGATGAGTTGCCAACGGGAAGGGATGAGTCGGCGGCTAAAGCGCTGTCAGTGAAAGGGGAAGCGTTGACAGAGAGACTTCGGGAGGAATGGAAAAGGAGGTCGGGGGGAGACGTTGAATTTGGAGACTCACGTCAGACAAGGGAAGTGCTTTCATAGAGTGTACAGCAGACATCCGAGGATGCACAACGGACAGAGGCTGAGGTCTCGGGGGGAAAGGGTGGAAGGCCTGGGAGCAAGAGGGGTTATGAGGGTATTGCGCACGCTGGGGCGAGAAGTGTGTCGCACAAGGGTGGGAAGGCGGTGGGTGACTTGGAAAAAGGTGTGTCTTCAAGTCTAGCGAAAGGGCTGACGCAGATCACGGGAGATCGGGGCAGAGAGGTGTGGGAGAGTCATGTGTCTGCGAGTCGGGGAAGGAGTCCGACGAGAGGCTCGGGGGGCAGGGGCAAGGCGCCTCAGCGCAGATCAGAGGATGGCAATGGAGGCAATGGCAGTGCCAGGGTTCCAGGTGTTAGAGCCACGAAGAAGGAGAGGTCGGGAGGACTACNGAAGGCGCTTCAGCGCAGATCAGAGGATGGCAATGGAGGAAATGGCAATGCCAGGGTTTCAGGTGATAGCGCCACGAAGAGACGTGGAGAGGACTAATACTCTTGTCGAACAAGCGAAATGCGCAGAAACAGGTCACAGACACCTGACGCGGGTCATTTTATTTCTCGTACGTCAGGTAATGGGGGAGACCAAGGGCCCGTGAAGGATGAAAAAAATCGCAAGAGGGGGGTCGATGCCCAGGGGGAGGAGGATGGTGGAGTGGTCAAGGCCTCGGACGAGGGTGGTGGAAGGGAGGGAGAGTCCCTTGGCGGGCAGTCACCGGGTGGGGGGAAAGTGAGAGACACATCGATTGCGATCCTTGACTTGTTACATTCGCACTTTGGGGGTAATGTGGATGCTCTCCAAAGTCTGGTGTCCAACATGTGGGGAGGTGGAAGAATGGAACCAACGAGATACAAGAGAAATCTTGCGGGGTGGAGGTGAAGGGTGAAAGAGGTGCACGGTATTGCGAGATTAAAAACAAATCTCGAAAGGTGGAGGTGAAAGGTGAAAGAGGTGCACAGTATTGCGAGATTATAAACAAATGTCGAGAGATGAAGGTGAAGGGTGAAAAGTATTGCGAGATTCAAAACAAATCTCGAGGAGTGATGGTGCAGGGTGAAGGAGGTCCCGAGTATTGTGATGACGAAAAGAAATATCGCGGGCAGAAGGGAAGAAAACAGAGCCCAGGACCGGGATCAAAACAGAATCTCGGGGAGGCTGAATAAAGCGAAAACAATCATCACGCGAGAACATCGAAGACGACTCGGAGGGTGGGATTGTTGAGGAGGAGGGGGGCCGATCGGTGGTGCACAACACCGAGGGTGATGGCCTGGCGACGGGGATCGTCTCGTCCAACCACGGTGAAGCGGCGGACTACCTGACACCAAATACTCGGTCGGTCGATGGGGATTTAACGATGGATCGACATCGGCATACGACTAGAGTTCAAGTGTTCGCGGGGTCGAGAGCGACTACGATGATGTCGTGGGAGGCTCTGTTGGATACCGGAAATCCGGCATCGTTTGTACAAGAAAGGTGGCGTTCAGGCGGTTGTGGCAAAGGGTGCCTCCGCACATTCGAGACGTCCATTTCGACTTCAATGCGAATCTGTGGGAGCCGGAAGACATTGACAAACTAGGGAAGGGGCAGAACACGTGCGCGACCTGGAAAGGTTTTTCGAGCGTATGGTCAAGTTCAACCTGAACTGGCACCCAATAAGACGAACCTGGGGGTGAAAGTGGTGACATTTTTGGGACATCAAGTCACGGCGGAAGGGGTCGGGCCGGACCCGGGAAAGGTGCAAGCGGGGTGCTACCTTCGCGATTGGGTCCGGTGTATACCGAGCGAGAGGCGCTCGCTGGGTCGAACCATCGCGATGATTTTGTGGTAGGGGAAAGTGGCTGTACACCGGCAAGCCTCACTACGGATGAACTAGCAGACAAGACGTGGGCGCTGATCCAAAGGGGGAAGGGCGTGTCCAACCCTTTGCCTGATGGTGCGTGTGTGCCTGATGACGCCCGGTTGGTGGAACCGAGTGGGGAAGTAGTCAGTGGTCAGTTTGNGGTGATGGTGGTAGTAGCAGCAACGCTGGTGGGAGTGGGGCTGTTGCTGGTGGTGGGGGTAGTAGTAACGCTCGTAGTAGCAGGGCTGTTGCGCGTGGAAGGGGTCGAGGAAGAGGGGCTGCTGGTG